ATATCTCCGAAGATGAGTAAGTGAGTCATGTGACTTGATGACGACTCAGAAACATGTGAACCAATCACGACACTTGGATACGAATTTCCTCCAGAGAGGGAACGAAGACGAGCCCTTCTTGACGAAGTCCTTAGGCACATAACCGTAGCAAATCTCTGTTCCTGGTCCGTGCTCTTTGATGTACCAGTTATTCCTGAGGACGATGCGATGCCAACCATTCACTGGTTCGAAGTTTGGGTCAAAACCAATGACGTAGAAGGGAGCATGGAAGGTTTGATCGAATACCCATACGCAATCGTGAATGTGATAAGGAGGATATGAGGGGAATATTCGGTATGGGCCTTCAGGAGATTCGACATATAGGGGATAGTACCGACGATGTGCGACTTGTGGAGGAGGACTGGACAAATGAACATCAAGGGGAGAACATCAACTAGGAAGTTCTACGCGTGGTCCAACGTGTATGTCTGGCTTGGCGGTCATCTGAAATGAATCATGGGACGTGGTGGCGGCAATGCTGGATGGCATATTGAAAATAGAATTGATGAAAAATAGAATGAGTGTGGAGATGATGTGTCTGGCAGACTGGAGGTAGCACAGCAGATGATGGTCTGGCAAAAGCTGATGATGATAGGCGCGTGTGCAGTGAGCGTCTTTTGTAGTGTGGTAGGCGCTGTCGAGTATCATGCTTGTCAACGGTGACAGCTCACCTATCATGTTTGATATGGGAACACCCTCTGTCATGTCATCAGGGTGTAAACCATCACCCGTCTCTCCTAGATCCTTACAATAGCTTTGATAGCGCTTTTTTAGCCTGAATAGACTTAGTCAATAAAATCCTGTACTCCCACAGGTCATACACACACCTTGTGAGCTGCCCAGCTACAGACTAAGAGTAATTCAATTTGTCTGCTAGTACCTCTGGCCTCATCACTACTTTCCATATCAAAGACCCACTCCACCAGTTGACCATGCACGACCAACTTCTGATTCTTGGCCTGGTTTTTTTTTTGGCCCTGAGCAATGGTGTCCTTCATTGTGTTAGAAAAAAGTTTTCTACGGAAGTTCAGGTTCTGCTCAAGGTAATCGATGAGTCAGTACGTTCAGTCAGCGTTTTTTGCCCAGGGTATTTGAGTGGCTTGGATCTTCCTGTCTGTACCATCCTCCTCTACACCTAGATCGATGGTGTCTTGTCTTGGCTGGTCCTGAGTGCTACATTTGGCTTGGGCATGTGATTTTCCTTGAACGGTGGACCAGGAAAGCCTGTGTCTGTCCTGTCACATGTCACATACACCACCTTTCCTGCGATTGACCACTCACTGCCTGTGCCTTTGGGCATCTGTGCCGACACTCCTGCATCTCCAAGTGGTGACAACGAGGGATTCCCTCACTTGCTCCTTCCAGCAGGCTCTTCTCCTACAGATTTTTCCTTCAGAGTGCTTATTTTCTCACACTGCTTCACATTGCCCAAACAGGCAACCGTTTTTCATTAGCTCCACTTTACAGTCTGACAACCTTCACAACTTCGCAAAGCTTCACAGGACTCCAGGACTACAGTTTTCAAGACTCTATTGCTCTACAAGGCTCAAGAACAACTCATAGCTTCAAATGGGAACAAGAATGACAGAATTAGAGGCGGCAACAATACTTGAGCGCATCAACAAACAAGCCCAGAAAGAGCAGATAGAACAGCTAGAGTTCGAGATAAGGATAATGGAACAGGACATCAGGATCAAAGAGGAGAGGGAAGGAGATATTCGCATTCAAACAAGCCGCACCGAAGGAATGCGCCACGATGAGAACACGCCCATGGATACCAGCGATCCCACTACCACCACCACATGTGAGACGACCACTGAGCCAGTAACCCACAGCTGGGCATGCAAAATGGAAGCTGAAGACACCACGTGCACAAACGCACTGCTAACCTCGCCCAATGACAACGCCCACCGCTGCTGCAATCCAGCTACACGCCACGCCGACAGATGATGAGAGACCCCACAAGTGTCACCCACAGGCATGACACTGCACCACGCTGACTGCCTACCACAATGTGTCGCACCACCCACAACCGCCGCACATACACGGCGATGACACACGTGCCAGGGAGATGTCCAGGATGCACCGCACACGTCATGACCCCGCACCCCACATCGACAGTGCCATGCACCCCCTCAGAAATACCACTGCGACCACAAACTCCTGCCATGAGCAGTGGCCCCACCTGGAGAGCACACACACACACGAGACACTGCAACACTTGCAGCATCCCCAGCGGCCCCCAACCGAGCCCTACCACCTGCCATTTGCTCGCAAGAAGGCCCAAGCATGCTCAGTGTCGCGCTCCCATACACCACCACAGCTACCCACCCACCTACCCTATTTCAAGTGGCACCCCCTACAGTGGCCCCAAACTGAGCCTGTCCACCTGCTGTTGGCCCACGAGAATGCATGTGCACGCTCGGTGTCGCTCCCCCACTCGTGCTCCCAACACTCCCCCATGCCATCACGCCACCATCCACAGTCCCCATGGACCACAGTGGAGCACCACCGCCCACCGCGCATGCATTGGAGTGTCGGGCACACGCATGGATGCCACCAGAGCTGACTGGATGCCAGTGTGCCTGCATGCCCACACCCGCCGATGCAGTCACACCCAGAGCAGGGCACACAGGGACCACATAACCCCAGAGCAAGGCTGGATAGGTGCGCTCAGGCCAACACCACGCCTGCACCCGTGCACTCATGCTCATGCTCCCGCTCTCACGGCCCATGCCAACCACAACCCACATGCGAGCAGTGTCATGCATCAACGCCGAATTGGCAAAGGGTAGAGACGACAAAGGGGGAAAGCGAGGAGGCACTGGAGGCATGCCAAAATTTTCTGACCCAGAAAACCATACAGAAAATCTTCAGAAATGGTTGAGTATGCCAATGATTTATCTGGATGGGAAAACTGTGTGAAAATAGAATGTTTGCCAATGATTTTCTGATCCCAGGAAATTTTAATAAGATTACTCAGAATAACTTAGAAATTGTGAGGAAAAACATGGGAAAACATGGGGAAAAGAGTTTTCTCAGGAATTTTCTCAATTTATTCTGAGTGATCTTATTAAAATTTCCTGGGATCAGAAAATCATTGGCAAACATTCTGTTTTCACACAGTTTTCCCATCCAGATAAATCATTGGCACACTCAACCGTTTCTGAAGATTTTCTGTATGGTTTTCTGGGTCAGAAAATTTTGGCCTGCCTCCAGTGAGGGAGAGGTGAGGAGAAGGAGAAGGCGAAGGAGGAGAAGCTCACCAACAGAACCACCCTGGCCTCACCAACGTTCCCCCAGCCCACACGCATCCCCTGCATCCCCTAAACAGGTTCCCTAACACCCGCAAGCCTTTTGAGTGGGCCTCACACTGGAGAGACGGCATTTCGAAACCGCCCACACACTCCCAACTTCCCATGCACTCCCCACCTCTTGCACGTCATGCGCACTCCCCCAGCAAGCCTTCCAACTCACCATCCACAGGTGCACCCTCATGGAACTCACACAACGCCGCCCATCAGATCCATCAGGCCAACACATGCCATCCAGCAACCCCTAAGCAGGAGGTGCCTGCCAGAACACTGATGGCAAAGCTCATGGACGCCTCAAAAGCCTTGCTAGAGGCCATTCAATACCTTGCTGACATGCCCTTGGGGATGACACTCTCTTTGTGCCCGATGTGTGCATTTCAGGGGGGAGGGGGAGCAGTTCCTGCTGAGCATCATGCGCCTGCATCGGGCACTGCAGCCCTGTCACCTTTCTCCACATCTTCTTGATCTTTCCTGTCCACCATCATCCTTTCCTTTCCTTGTCCTTTTGTTCTTTCTCTCCCTTTTTTTTCTTTCTTTCTTGACATGCACAGGGATGCACATGATTTTTCAGGGGGGGGGGGGGTACTTGGACCAGGCAAGCCTGTGTCTGTCCTGTCACATGTCACATACACCACCTTTCCTGTGATTGACTGCTCACTGCCTGTGCCTTCGGGCATCTGTGCCGATGCTCCTGTGTCTCCAATGGCCTGTAGCATGGTGAGGGCAAAGGGGAACAAAGGCAAAGTGAGAATTGAAGGGCTGGCAATCAAACAATATTACTAATCAAGTAATTATCAAGGTTTAAATATCTGCTGCAAGTTCATAGCAGAGTTCACACATGATTTTGCTGCAAAAGGAGGGTGGGAGCTGCACTTGCAAATTTGTGGAAATCATAAACTCTGCAAATTTTTGTCAGAGTTCACGATCGAATGTGTGACTGAATGCGCAACTGAATGCGCAACTGAATGCATGACTGAATTCACATTGAATTCATGTCAAATTCTTCAACATAAAACCCCCTAATGTCTCAGCCTCCCAAATATCCAGATTTCCCTCCTCCCCTTCTTCCACAGCTATATCAAACTTCTAAATGTGGGGGTGAATACAAATCACTGCTACTAGGGCAAGGAAGTGGCAAGTTTCTTGGAAACTTCAATCACTGGTATCAGTGGGTATGTCTCTAGCACAGCATGGTTGGTTCATATCTGATGTGTCTGCACATTGTAATGCAAGCAATGACTTCCTGGACCATGGCATACCTCTGGACAGGGTGCCAGATGAGGTGAAGCTCAACTTTGCACTCCACCAGTCATTGGAGAAAAGAAAGAAAGAAGGAGAAAGCACCACCCTCCTGTGTAAAACCCACCTGAGTCACTCACATCAGGCTAATTTTGTTATAATTATAAAATACCCTAGGCATGTGTGCCATGCTCTGAGTGAAGTTGAATTTGGGTGTTTAAAATTGAAAACCACTTGCATACTCTAGGTTAGAGTTTGGTAAGTATTTGAACTCTCAAGTGACATCTCTTATTTTTTCACTATGCATGCAACACAATCAAGCATGTAAAATATCAATGAACACTAATGATCACAACAGAAATACCTCCATTCAAAAGTTGCTATGCATGCATCAAAATGATAACAATATGATCAGAGTGAGATTCGAACTCACGCCCCCGAAGAGATGAGATTATGTTAACATTTTATGAAAACCTTAGTCTCACGCCTTAGACCAACTCGGCCATCTGACCTCGGGCACTTGCATATTTCCTCAACATTCAAACACATGTTCGCGAAGAGACATATTATGAAAGCCCCGTACACGAATGGATCTGTGTAGCCAATAGGTAATCAAGCCCCACGCTTCTAATCAGAATCATCCCTTGAGTAAATTATATGTAGGACAGCCTAGAATATTGGCATACCTATTGAAATACGTGTTGCTTCAGTATTTGAGAACACGTCCGCATTGATAAGGCCTCCGATCGGAAAAGACTCCAATGCGAAACTAGGGTCCATGTGATTTGTACAAAACTCTTGAAGGATTCCACAAGCTCAATTATTCAGAATGTCCTACCCCAAATCAACCACAGCACTCTTACTTGTCGATCCATACAATGATTTCCTGGTCGAAGGCGGAAAAGCGCACCCGCGACTACAGGACAGCATTGCAGCCGTCGGCCTCATTCCACGCCTCATCAAACTAGTCGAAAGCATGCACGAGCACCGCATCCCAATTTATTTTGTACCACACCGCCAATACCGCCCCGGAGATTTCGAAAACTTTGCATTTCCCACTTCTACGCATGTGTCCGCTCGATCCATAGAGCTGTTCGAACTAGGTAGTTGGGGCGGCCAGTTTCACCAGAAAATGCAGCCGGACATCGCTCACGGCGACGTAATCGCGACTGAACATTTCACAACAAGTTATGCTGAAGCCCTGTCTATATTACTTATAGGCTGACATATTGCAGTGGTTTTGCAAACACAAACCTTGATTTGCTTCTACGCAAACACGGAATTACGCATATTGTTCTGGCGGGCCTTGTAGCAAACACGTGTCTTGAAGCGACAGGCAGATATGGCATCGAGCTAGGGTATCATGTGACAATGCTCAAAGATGCGACCGCCGCATTCTCAGAGGCTGGTTTCTTAGCCTCGACGGAGGTTAACTACGCTGCATTTGCGCATACGGTAAAATTAACGGAAGAATGGATCAAGGAGGTCACGGAGGTCCCGAGAAAAACGTGTCCTAATCGTTGTCTTGAGAGTTCATTTAGATGTGTAGACTGGGATTATGAGGAGGAAATTGTCGATGATGAAAACAAATGGAGCGGAAACATGTTGATCTTCAATGAGGATTCCAGTGGGCCTCCGAGACGCAATGTTTTAACAATATTATGCTATGGCATGATGTGAAGGCAGTCGTGAGTAGCTGTTAAGTAACTCACCAAATAATACAAAAAATAGAAGTCATCTGTCTCACTACACAAGCTCTACTTCTCTTCTGCGAAGGTTATTCTCAATAGTGGAGTATCGAAAAAGACCTATCGAGCCTTTCCTAATATCTTTAGGTTCTCCGCTATCAGGGGGGTCGAATAAAAAGTCAGGAACAGTGGCTAATAGTTCAGGCTGATATCGCTGGGGGTGTCACTTACTTCGGCAGGAGAATGTGTTCACAATCCTGAAGTGCATGCACAAACAACGATGTGTCATTGTCAGGCCTAGATACTAATGGAGGCATGGTTTTTTGCATGATAGCGTAAATAAGCCCATAAACAATCCACGCACTAGTACTAGGTCCGTGCCAGATTTGCCCTTCACGCTGCGTCCATGCGGGCAACGCATTTAAAACGGAAATGTCGAATTGGGAATCAATGAGAGCGGCATATCTATTTAAAAACGATCAATGTGTAACAAGCGAGGGAGATCTCATCAACTTAACGAATACTCACGACTCAGTCGGTGCAGGGTATTCCATGGTAGATAATCGCAATTGGATATTTGGATTTTCAAGAATGTGATGGGCATATTTTTCGATCTAAGGTGAAATCAGCAGGAAAATCTAAAAGTGCTCCATAATCCTTCGACAGATTGAAAAGAACCGTCCAGGCAAGACCGCATATCTTCACTTGGTATCGATCGAGGCTCACCTTGTGTATTCGTGATCTCATGTAAGAACGAACGATAAAACGGACTCGCTCTACCTCAGTCTGTACTAAAATAATTTGAAAGTGTTCGTCCTCGCTTGCTTCCGGGTCACCACGTAGTCGCTGCACTAGTCCTGCCTTAAATCCACTCGGATCCAAAAGTTTTAAGATTTCATTATTGATCACTAACCTGTTCACGGACTCGCTCCAATACTCGCTGGATAAGTTCGCCTCGCTGATCAAGGATGTCTGGTGCCAATCGTTCATTCATCCAATGGCGAATGAGTTCTGGGACAAGGTTATCCTGTCTTTCCTCCTCCCAGTCCATCTCCTGTACACCTGCGTCTGCAAACCCATGTATCACAGCCGTCTCTTCTCCCGGACCAGCTGATCGTGATCCAGAGCCTGATCCACCTTCTCCAAGGTGTGCCAGATGAGCAGGCAGAACAAACGGATTCAAATCACCGAATATATCTCCTTCGTCTTCTTCAAATAAATTAGAATTATTTGCGTGAGCATGAGAGGCCATTGAGAAGAGAAATACTTGTCACGCGTCGTCACGCAGTAATGTAGCACCCTCGTGGCAATGTCTACTAGTACATGGGGCATGTCCCTTGCATGTGCTTGGAAAAGGAGGGGATAAAATCAATGCTAATACTGCCAATGCTGGTAGGTCTAGAATTAAGGCAATCTACTCTTATGATCAAACGGATCGTCATACTCATTGAACCCCCTGTCTAAAAGTGACTTTGTGGTATCTTCCATCTCATAAAGTGTGGCTTCAACCTCATGTTCGCCCTTCCATGATGCGCTTTGACGCATACCCTCTCCGGGTAATACCGCCACAACCCTTCCAGTACGCTGATCAAATGTGAATCGAAATCCCTTCAGCTTTTCTTTCATAGTCCTGTCGTTGTCCAATGGCCCAACCAAGCCTAGGCTTTTGGCTCCATTGACAATATCGTCAGCCGACCTTGAAGTTTGCGTCTGCGTGAACAAGCTTAGGTGGTGTGCCATGGAACCTGGATGCGATGCCAGATAGAGCCGTGTGCGTTTCCGGCGATGAGAAATGTGAATGATAGCACCAGTCACCCCGACAAGAATAAGCAACGCTGCGAGAAAATGAGCTGATCTAGGGCTGATGCGTGAATGGCGAGAAATGTGCGGCAGATAAGTTAGTTTGTGTCAATCAAACGCAGGGTGTGAATTCCTCACTTAATCCATAGCCGGTTTGGCCACGATGTGATCACTGCATTTAGAGACGATCCCGTAGGCACGAAGTAGTTCGCTGATGCAACCAGGCTTAAATGTTGAGTCTACAACTTAGTTTCGACAAATGAAACGATATGGGGGTCAACCTACATATATCTGCTCAGTAATACTTAGAAAACCCGACGAGTTTTGAAAGAAAGTACTCAGACCCCCTACATGGCTCGGGTCCGAGGCAACTCTGAGAACATGCGTCAGGAACGTACTGCGTGTGGCATCAGTTCACTTCATCATACCTGAAGATTGCACCCGGAACACCGGACTGGACGGCCAGCGCTCGAGCAAGGACAAACGGATCTGTGAGATTGAAGTCCGAGCTAGAATCAAACGATACGCTGTGCGAAAGTCACTGAAGAGTTAGCAGTTTGACAGTGGGAAATCAAAACAGCAGACCCATTAAACGCCTTGCCAGCGAAAGCCCCAGTGGTCACATTGTTATCATTCCTATCCAGATTCCCTGTGACATTCACCTCAACCAGAAGTCCCGTTCCAACATCCACTGTCGCTGCAACAGCATACGCCGAGATAGTAGGTGCGCAAAACACGGTGCTTGCGACAGGGGTGCCGTTTCCATTTGGTGGTTCATTATAGAACCAAAAGAATACGGGCACAAAAGGATCGGAGAGCGTATTCGCCGAGCATCCAGGGATCGCTTCAACGCCATACTGGTTTGTAGCCAATGTACTGTCGATAGACTGCAAGAAGGTACATCCAGATCCTATATCAACTGAAGCTTGAAGCGTCCAATTATGGGGGGACGAACTAGTTGGTGGCATGAAGTTGGATGTGTGGGGAACAGAGCAGGTGACATTTGTTTGTACACCGGTCGTACTAACAGTGATTGTAGTATTCTGCGCTGCATCGCTTGGAAGCTGAGGAGGACTTGAACGGATGCTCTCTGACGAGTTATTAAGGGCAACTTACCTTGAATTGTGCGACAGCCCAATCCCCTTGTATGAAAGGGGGGTTGCTCAGGTTGTGAACAGCTGCCGCTTCAGCAAACCCTGCAGCAGCGACGAAAGACGACAGATCTTTATATGCCGGGTTCAGGCCTATCTGAGTAGTGCTCTGAACCGGGGCAGAGGCTAAGGGGTTGATTTCAGATGCGGTGCCAGGAGCATTGACTCATACGCACATGGAACTACGGTGATCCCTGGTTTGACCAGAAAAAATGAACCAGCCATCGGGTGAAGAAGAATATTGACGATGCATATGAGCGAAGAACCTATTATGAGCAGTAGACCATGTCTAAAGGCTACCGAAAAGATATCGAGTAAGCTGGATTAGTCTGAGCGTCAATATCAACATAAATAACAGATATAAAAGGCACGACCCCCAATGTTCCAAGTCCAGAAGTACACTTTCTTCTGAGCTAGCAAATCCCTGGGACATGGTTACATAGGGCTGTGGCACCAGGATGAAACAGAAAGGTACAAATATAGGGAGCCTGTAACTCGCCTGCACTCTTCGGAGGTCATTGTCGATACGCTTCCATATCCATACGAGAGGGCCGATGGCTAAAGTCGGAATAAAGCCCTGGTTACACGAACATGAAGGGATACAAAGATGCTGTATCCACTGCACTCACGCTCAACCATTGCACCTGATCTGTATCAACACGACCAGTGTGGAATCCTGGTCGCGCGAGCAAATCTATATTAACGACCCTTCTATCCATTGTAACTCCCCAGCTACTTACCACCCAGTTTATTAGAAAAGTATAGAGCAACCTCAATAGCAACAGCAAGAGTCACCATTACGGTTACAGTGCTGGCAATGATCCAGAAGTTGAGATAATTCGGGATCTGCACATAACATCGGTCAGCCAAGTA